TATACTAATGATCTCATTGAAAATGTGATTTAATGCTTTTGCTTGCTTGCTTTTGCTATATATATATATATGGTCATTCAATCNTGTATATATATATATATATATAAACATTTTTTTTTTCCAAGCCACATTAAAATACATCCAAAACAAATTCCATCCCTTTCAAACGGAAGCTAGTCTCGTTCATTTCCAAAAATGGTTCACATTTCTTTTTCTTATTTATCTTGTTTTTCCCAGCCTTGCTAAATCTTATTTTTAAATGTCCTGGCAGGCTGCAAATGAAATTATTTCTGCACTAAAAAAGAAACTACAGGTAATTTAGTTGTTCATTCTTTAATAAGTGTTACAAAACATGAAAAAGGAAAATGTTTGGAATAAATTTGTTACGTATTTTATCTAAATACAGATAACATATATTATGCTCATTACAAGGAGATGGAAGTTTCTTGCTTGGAGTGATTTGTTAAAATAAAGACTACTTTAATCCTTAAATTTGTTCTAAATGTAAAAATTAGGATGAAAAAGAAAACAAATAACTGCGCATGACTATTGTACTTTCTTTTCCTTAATGATTTTTTTCCTTTAAAATAAGATGGATCGATTTCATAAGAATTCATGACCACTTTTACTAACAGTTTGGATTGTTTATTTGAAGGCACCAAAATCGGGTTCAATTATTTTTTTCTAAATTTTTTAGTTTATTTCCAAGTTTTATGGCTATTCTGTAACTTTTATAAGCAATTTTGATTATAAACAGCCTCTTTTATTATTAATTTTTTAACTAATTATTTTTAAAAAAAAAACCAAAACGAAAGCTTTGCTATTTCCTAGTTTTGGAAAACGAAATCAATATATTTAATTTCATAACAATTGTTTGAAATAAATTTACCGATACCAAATGAGGTCAGAAGTTTATTTATTTTTTAAACTTGTCTATTCTGATCTATTTTGAACTGTTTTTTGAAGATTATTAATTCAAACATTTAAAAGTAATAGTAGAAAGTGTAGTCTCTCACCATTATATTGGAAATCAGCACAAAATCAAGTTTACGCATTTTAAAAATTACTATTTAATGGAAAGAATTCTTGGAATTCGGAATGCGTATTTATATTCTTGTAAAAATAAATAGATATCTTACTGTTTCGTTTTATATTCGATGAGGTTTTTATTGATTATTTATAAGTGGAATGCACAATATCGCAATTTTTGATCTTCTTTCATTACTTATTTTTACCGTGTATATTAACAGAATAATATTTTATAATTTCATTTTTTTCGACTAAGTAGTTTTTATTAAAACAGTGAAGTTACATCGGTTGTGATATTGACTTCTACAATCGTAATGATAGAGCGAAATTCAAGTATTAAAATACAAAGTTTAATTTTTTTAAAAAAGCATTTTACCGCTAGAGGAATTATTTTAAGTATGCCAGAGTGCTGGAGGAAATATTTTGAAGCATCCCAGTGCTGAACGAAACTTTCGCAAGCATCTTAGTGCTAAAAGAAATTTTTGTAAGCATTTCAGAGCTAAAGGAAATTTATTAAGCATCCTAGTGTTAAAGAAAATTTATCAGGCATCCCAGTGCTAAAGGAAATTTATTAAGCATCCTAGTGTTAAAAGAAATTTATTAAGCATCCTAGTGCTAAAAGTGAATCATTTTCGAGTGTGCTGAAGATCGTTGCTCAAGTTAGAACTCGTTGAAGGAGGGGTGCTGCAATCATGTTGGAAAGAGTAGAGGACCTCATGTCCAACAACCCAGTGACTCAGTCACCGAGTTAGCACTGAACCATGACCTCCTAGTCGCCGGTCTCTTCTGATGTCACGTGAATGTTGTGGGTGTGGGGTTTTATTGAACTGCAGGCGTAATCTGCACAAGTTCAATCTCACCTGATTTTGCAACACCTATGAATAGTTCCTCTTCCCCTTTCCTTTTTGCTAAAGTGGATATTAAAAAAAGAGCGAGAGTTCATGCGAGTTCGAAATACTATTACGCTTGTCAGCCCGTTCCTTCTCCCTTCTTCTCTTTTTCTCTTTTCTGAATCTGCCTATTATTCCGTCAAGATCAAACTCTGAAAGCGTGGGTTGCTAGAAACTAAGGACATTTGTATCTTATTTTTACCTCTAACACCTATCTCATTTTAACTGTCAGTTGTTTTAATTGTTCCTATAGCACGAACGCCTAGCAGTATTTAGACGCTTTTTGATACGTTTTTGCAAGTGGGTAGATTTCTACAGGACGTAAATGTCAATGCAATTATTGAAGTATTAAAAAGTAACATTTTGAAAGATCTGTGAAAGAGATTTCTGTTTTTTTTAAAGCTCTTACTGAAGAGCTTTATTTTTTGTAATGCAATGTCGTAAGATTACAGATATAGAATAGTTAATTTTTTTCCACCGTACCTTTCTAAGAAATAAAAAAAAATTTAATTAAAGTGAAATAGAACTGGAGTCGTATGTATTTGATAGTTCTAAAGTCTCGAAATTGTAATATTTTGACTAGCGACTAACTGAAACAATTTTCAAGGAATCGGCTTCAATTGTATCGATGATTAATAACAAAAAAGTCATAATTAATACTATATGATTTTCAAAATTTTCTGTAAAATGCCAAAGTTTAAAAAAAAAAAAAATTCGAAAAATTAGGAGACTTTTTTTTAAAGAGTGAAAGATGCAAAAAAAAAAAAAAAACTGTTTGGTTATTTTAGTATTAATTAAAGTTTTACTCTTTTGTTGTCTTGTATTTTTTTCAATAATATAAATAATATTATTTAAGTAACGTTAGAACATTTATGATTTTCTTACAACAATGTATTAAAGCTATGAACAAAAGGTACTGATCATTTTTCGATTGCACAGACTTAATATTACATCTCTTTATTGTAAATTAAATTTAACATTAATTTATATTAAGCTTAATTTAATATCGTATGCATTATGTATTGATTTCAACGTAAATTAATATTTAATGCATATTAAGTTTATACCAGATAAATAGCAAAATTATATTTTTATCGCGCAAATCAATAAATCAAATTAGGAAATTTTTATTATTATTTTCTACATACGAAATGTTTATGTCTAAAAAAACGACTGATGTAACTCCATTTGAAACAATTTAACTCTTCATAAGAAAAAAATTGAATAATAATTAATTTTTCCCTATCAAATTAAAAGTAATTAGCGTACATCAAAATGAACCTGAACACTGGTTATAACGCATTTAAAAGTACGTGCAAAAATGTATGGGGGGGGGGGATTGAGATGTGAACCCACAAAGTTATCAAAAATCACACCTCTCTTAATGGCATCTCCTAATTCAGAGGTGCGGAAATGTGTGTTCGAGGTGTTGCATCTTTGCTGCCTACTTGACCCTTCACCCTTCTTGATCAGAGGGAACCCCCCGGACCCTTCTCCACCCTCCTCCTTTTTTTTCCATCCTTGATGTTTCCTGAAAAGAACGACAGGTCGTGACTCGCATACGTATTACGTAAAGCACACGACGCAATCTTTGAGTTGTCCGGGCAAGAGAAAACGTGTGAAAATGTCCCGACTTGTTACCATTAGAGAAATATAAAATGTTGCTTTTATCCTGACAGTTTTATATATATAGTTTTATCGTTACCTGTCCTCTAATGTCGACTTATGAAATCTCTAACAAGGTTGTGTTTTTAGAAATAAGTTTTCGGTTCGAATTTTTTTTCATAAATATTATGAAATATACAACGGGCAGAGGAAAAAATTACTCCATCTACTGCTGTTTCATAAAATTAGATTAGCGCTGTCATTAACAGAGAAAAGCGGGGGATGTTATGTCATGAATTCTTCAGACGCACGAACATATGGAATTTACCAATTTAAACATTACTTCAGGATAGCTTAATGGTATGGAAGAACTTTAAAAACCTGGCAAATATGCTATTTGTTCCCCCAGACCAATACTCTATCTATACATTCTGACCATTATGATAAAAAACAAAACAGAGATTAGAATTTGGTAGACGCTCGGGCATATAGAAAAACCATTTACTGATGTAAACATATCTTCAGCTTAGCTCAATAGTGAGATAGAACATTGACAAACCTGACCAATATTCTATGTATATTTCCCCAGGCCAATATTTTATGTTCCTTTTTTGTCAAAAGTTTCATATTTTATACATAAATTATCAACGATTTCTCGGTATAAGCCCGGAAGTCCTCATCGATTCCTCGATTGCAACCGATTACGTATATTATCGTAATCGTTCTATAAAATAAAGTTAGCAGAACTATTTTAAATAACATCTTTACAAGACTGTGTACAGTTATGTATAAAATATATTGAAGAAAAGTACATATTTTAGTAAACAAGAAAGATATGAGTTATATTATCTTCAAGGATGGTAATCTTGAAGACATCTCTAAATTTTGCTATATTGCTACTCATAACCTTTTTATAGAAGCTTGAATTTAATGCCTCAGGTTTCATTGATTAACATGTTTTATGCTCTCTCTGGCCAATATGTCTTATAATTCTCTAGCTCAGTAGCCGACCGGCTTGAATGGTGGTCAGGCCTCATGTTAGAAAGAGGTCCCGGATTCGAAACCAAGTCAGAGGCATGGATGTTTTCTTCTTCTCGCTCTGAACCATCTGTTCTTCTCACTGTTGGTGCAACGTTGGCCCACCCAATAGGGTGTCCCTTGAAAGAGTATTCAACACATTTGCCCTTCTGATCAATGTCAATGTGTACGGAGATCTCCTGATTTGTACATTGACGTACATTACGTCAGTGTGCCCTGGATCTACTGACCAATAAACTTCTTTCTCTTGCCAATAAGCTGGAAGTAGTAACTGCAAATGTCAGTTGAAAATCTTTGTAATTGGATAGACGTAAATTATAACACGATATTTTATTTGTTTTAGAATAAGTTATTTTCATTGTTTAAACCAGAATGTTCATGTTGTAGTTGTATCAGTATGATGTGCGTATTCTTAACATATTTTGTCTTTTATTTTAGGGTGTGAAAATTTTTCGGGATCCTAATTATATAAGATATTTCAATCCTGATCGTGGATGGCTTCCTGTGGCAGAAAAAACAGAAGTGCAAGGCATGAGCGTAAGTCAATTTTTTTTTTATTTGTTTGCCTATTGATGTGTTTTAGAAATTGGTGGACCTTTTCGTAGATTAAAAATATGTCAGTGTATTTAAATAATTCCCCCATTATCGCGAATGCGTTTTTGTCTAATAATATAAACTGAAAAAGACAATTTTTTAATTAATTTCAGGCTTTTTAACTGAAGTTTGAAATGCACATAATTCGATGGTGCCTTTCTGCGAATTTTGTACAAATTTGCGATTAAAACATTGTCGCTGAAATATTGTTATAGTTTGATTTTTGAATTTTCTCAAAATGTTTGCATTTTCTCAAAAATTTAAAGTAAAATTAAGAAACTATAGATTTCATAGAAGTAATTTGTTATTGTTAGTTTTCATAATTTTCTTTTAAAATGTACTTCGTTTAAATTTACAAATGATATTTTTTTTCATTCTAGTGTTTTTTTCTTCTTCTTTTCAGTATATAAATGAGATTTTTTCTTTCTTTTAAAGAAACCTTGTTTTAATATGGATACAAAATTTGTTTTTAGTAATTTTGGTTGTATGAAGAACTATTGCTTTGAATTATATGTTCTGAAATACAATTTTGCTGAATGATATGGTTATAGATTTAAATAATAAAAGTTTTAAAAAATCTTTCAAATAATTAAGCTGAGTAATTAATTTGTAAAACTTAGTCAATGAAGGCCAAAATTTAAATCAATTTTAACTGCCGATGAACCATACTATCATGTAATCAAATTCAAAAAAAATTATTCCTTTAAACGAAAATATGAATCAACGTTCTACGCTAGCCAGCACAGGCCATTATCTGATAAACAAATATTTTTTAACAGTTAATTATTTCATTTTTTTATTTTATTTTTTTAAAAAAAAAACTATATGATGTATGAAAGTTTAATTTCAGGTGCTATTTTTTTTTTAAGAAAGATTAATTTGAGCCATAACATGCACTGTTATAAATTTCTAGATAAAAACGATTTATTTAACCATTTTCAACCGTAACAGTCTAATAACCATAAAAAGATGACATTCAAACTGTTAAGTGTGAGAAAAAACGTTTATTTATTGTTTTTTTAAAAATCTAATATGGTTTAACAACCAGAATTCTATCCAATTAGGCCTTATGAAGCTATTTAGTTTCGAGCAGCTGGGTACATACTATAGCTAAGAGGGCCAAGCGGTCAATCTCATGATCGGCTGAATGGGAGTTCGAATCTCAGCGTTGAAACCACACTATTTCTTCCATTCCTTTAATACACGAAGAGTTTCTAGCTTCCTGCACTCTTCAAGTGGCCCTCGAGTTTTGGAATACACTATCATTTACGCATAAAATGGCGCAACATCCACAGACTTCCAAAGTCCATTCAAGTTTTATTTTTACGGTTTAGAAGCTATGCAAGTTGTAAATAATTACAAAACCGTATAGTTTTGTTTTCACGGTTTCTTAACCGTGCCAGTGTTAAACGGTTTCAAAACCGTAAAGGTGAAAAATGTTCCTAACCCTATACTTTATGGTTAAATCGGATGGAGAAGGGTTATTTTAACATAATTTCAGAATGAAAATTGTAACAGTGTGGTTAAAATTTTCAGGATATTGGTCCACCATTTCTCGCAATGTAAAATTGTTAATCTGTTATGTGTGTGACATGTTTCCTTTACCTGTTACAGTTGCGGAGAGCTATCAAGTACTTCAGCGATAAACTTCCCTTCTATGGCATTGCCCTGACGCAGGTGACGTTGGATCAGGTAATCCACAGTGGTCCATTTGTGGAAGAAACACGAGAGGTAGAGATCATCCTCACTCAAGATGTATGCCAACTTCAGTTGGGCGGTTTGAGCCTGGGGGTGCGCCCCAGCAAAACTGAAATTTCAGACGCCATGAGCAAAGACTATAAAGACGTGAAAAGCAAATCTCAGCGAGACCTCCGGGACATTATTATCCTCAAAGAGTATAATGATTTTCTCAAAGTCATGGAAGACACGTTTGAACATCTCGTTGAACGGACGTTGCATAGGTACACAACTACGGATGATGTGTTGAACGCCGCGTCCATTCATTGAACATAATATTGAAGATTTCTCCCCAGAGACTGTGATGTTTTATTTATTATTTTTTTTAATTTATTGTTTATTTTAAACAATTCACCCACCATTAATTCATTTTCATCTATGGATCACTACGAACCATCATTCAATAACTTGAAATTTAAGTTTTTTTTTCTGTTTCAAAAAAAAATATAGTTCTTTATTTTGTGTTGTTAGCGTTATTGATTTATAATATGAACGAATCGGGTATGAAATTATTTTGAAAATTGAGAAGTGGAATATACTAATTTCATAATTAAAATTCCGTGATTTTAAGAAAGGTGAAATTCAGCCAAATCTAGTGGTCTCACATTTAAAGTTAATTAAAAACCAGTTAAACAACCGTTTTTAAAATTGATTCAAAGATAAAAAATTATAAATGCTTGAATTTTGTTTCGAATTAAAAAAAAATCATTTTTGATTTGAACTCAAGTTTTTCATGAAAAATAATTGAACAATAAAATGACCTTATTAAAACTGAATATTATTATTGATTCTGAATATTTTATGAAATCCTAAATACATCCTAATCTAGAATATATCCTAATCCTGATTACATTATATTTTTGTTTTAATTCTGAATATAATATATGATTGTTTTACAAATGCTTGTAACTATCAAATTTGGTAGAATCAAGTGTTTTTATCTATATCTAAATTAGTCCTATTTTAAATATTGAATCTCTTTAATCGGTATAATATTCAATATCGGTATTATATACATTGTTTAATTAATAACACGAGTTTAAAATATGTGAAAAATTTGTGCAATCTTATTAAATTTAAATTCGTCATGAGCTTATATCAAAATCTAACTTAGAATTATTAGTTTGTTTGTAAAAATAATCAGTTTAAGTAATTAATTTGCTCATATGAAACATATTTGTCTCAACAATTTTGTATTTAAAGCCAATGCTTACCTTTGCCATTCAATGTATGTGCCAGTGTATGGTATTCCTGTTTCCTTCTATTTATCCCACACTTTGCTTCCGTAAACATGTACGGAATACAGCCTAATTTTTGTGAACAGATTCCTATTTATGTAAGATTCATGTTTATGTTGTTGTTTTTTCAATGTGTAACGAAGTTCGGGAAAACCAAAGATGTCTCTCTTTTTTTTAATTTTTATTTTTTATTTTTATTAAACAGTTGAAAGTGAACAATGAGATTGGTAGAAATTACGCCTTGTATATTTATTTTAGTCGAAACTTAAGTTTTGTTTTCATACACTAAATTCAATGCATACTTCTTAGTATAATTTTTTAAATTTTAAGCTAGATTTTAATACACTAAATTTAAAAATGAATATCCTGTTATAAAAGTTTTAAGTTTTGCTTTTATACATTAAATCAAACAATGAAAATCAAAAATGATTAAAAACATTTTTTGGTTTTAATTTATCTTGAATTTGTTAGAAATTTCAGTTATAATACAAAATAAACACATAAAGATATGTCAGTAGGTAATATTTTTTTTTGGTAGGATTTAGGAGTACTTATTATAGATAAAAGAAATATACATTTTCACCTTCATATGGCATGTTTGAATTCGTTTGATGCTAAATATAAAATAGAATTTTGTTTTACAAATTAACCGAGCAAATTAAAAATATGACATAACACTCATATCCATAACATAATTCATAAATGTGCTTTCATTTGTATTTAAGTTATTACTTGTACATGTTTTTAAATGTGTGTAATTTTTTTTTAAAAATTATTACTCTTTGTGAAAGAGTTTCCTTTTTATTTTTTTAAAAATTAATTTGTGATTTGTGTTTGTACTTAGACCCTTTTATCTCTTAAATGCCCAATTGAAGTTGGCATGTTTAGTAAATATTAATTGTTTGTTCAATATTTTTTCATTATGTATTTTAAAATTTTAAATAGTCATTTTTAAAAAGTTATTAAATTTAACTTTTTTTAATGTTATTGTTCTTTCAAGTAAATATTAAGGAAATTTACTGAATTTCTATTCACTTATGAAATAGTATCACCAATAAATGTTTTAATAATAGAATTCAATGTCTTAGAAAATACATAAATGTTTTTTTTTCCTCTCATAGATTTGCTTGCTTTTAGCTTATTAATATATTTTAAAAACTAGAAAATAACACTTATAATAATATATGATTAACATATAATTATATGTTCTAATTCTTTAACATATAATATATGTTAAAGAGCTTAGTAAAGAAGCATGTTAAGTGCAATTTTGTGAAAATTATCCGTTAAATATATTAGTAAAAAATTTGCAAACCACATTTCCCATCGAAAGTCGCTTGGCAGAATAAATTAACATTTTACCCTTACAAGTGGTTTTAACATGTTTTTAGCATGGGAAGGCATGTTAAGTGTAATTTTAACAACTTTGAGGAAATCTTCTTTTTTTGAAATATTAGTAATATATTTGCAAAACATATTTTCCTTTGAAAACCGAATCGTTTAGAATAAGCAGAAAAACGTTCAGCAGTTAAAGTTAATCAAAATTAATCTTAACATGTTTTTAACAAGGAAGAAACATGTTAAATGCAGTAATTTGACTTGGAGAAAATCCTTATTTGAAATATTTATAAGATTCCTCAAACGTAAGAAAACATGTTCTCCGTTGAAAACCGTCTTTAACACTGAAAAGAATAACCTACAAATATTTTATGCTTACAGTTGATAATAACATGCTCTATTACCATGCTATTTCGCTAAGCTTTGCGACTGTTTCTTAATACTTGCAAATCATTAAAGATTTGTGTTATTCTAATAGAGAAGTTCCTCCTAGGCCAAATCAAATTTTTTGCTTTTACTTTTAAACTATTTACATTGTATATTATTGTAATCTAATTTGGATAATAATTTAATATAAAGATGAATCCTTTTCAAAATTTTTAAAATTCTTGTTCTCGAAAAATACAGCCATTTTTTTTAAACGATTTCAAAAACTGTTAAATGATATCGAACTTTTTGAAAGATTTTTTTCCCTTAAATCCTTTTTAAATCAGATATTTAATTTTATAATGTTTTGTTACAAAAATATTCGCTTTTTTCCGTAAAGTGTATTCTTCAGAAAATTAATAAAATATTAAAAACAAATATTTTTATTCAAATGCGATTTTGAACATTCATATAATAGGAACAAAACTCATATTTTTATATCTTATTCGCTATATACTATATACTTCAAAATATATTTCTTAACAGAAAATTCAAAAATTATTTTTTTGAAATAAAACTATTTCAGAACGTTTTTTTGTAAAGTGCATAAAGTATTTACAAAGCTATGTTTTCTGTAAATTTTTAGCTCATAGTATATTTTCCTAAATAAAACTAGAGTGCTATACTTACGTATGTATATATTTAAAGAAAGCTGTTTTATTAAATGCTAATTAAAAAATCACATAGCTTATAGATGGAATAAAACTATTTTTATTAGCACGAACTTTATTCGCTTTTTTCCTTGCAGTATAAGCAAAAAAGAATATATCTTGAATTTTTAGGTCGTTTTAAGAGTATTAAGTGTTCTAGGCATCTAGTTACTATGGTTTTTACTTTATTTATTGTAAAAACATTTTATAAAAAGATCTGACTTTTTTTTAACTAGAATTTATCGGTATTTAATTAGAATTCAAAATATTATTTGTGCATTTATTGTAAATTGCTTATCATGAGCAGTTTTTAAATTGTCTTTAAAGAAAGAAAAAATTTTGAAATGTGTTCTTTAAAGTTTTATTTATAAAATATCAGCGTTTTATGAAATAAGTGTTTATGATGTACAGTTTTCTGTAAATAGGTTTATTTATTCTATTTTTGTTTTAAATGGTATCCGTACTTTTATTTTCATAGCAGTAAATAAACTATTTCAGAAACTTATCCGTCTGAAAAATCTAGTAGATTGAAATCGAGCCAAAGATTTACCAGATTAATAAAAAATTAAGCAGGATTTTTATTTATTTCAGAAATAAAAAAAAATTATAATAAATGATTTGGTTCACAATTGTTTGTTTAGAGGTATATAAATCTATTCTCTTTTCAAAATCCAATAAATTCTATAAATCGAAAAATGTAATAAAAGAATATAAATTACGTATGATTCTTATTAAATGAATTGTTTTTAAAATTCTTTCTTATGTAATATTCCAGTGATTTTATTAAATTCTTAAGATTAATGTATAGAGGTTAATGATTGGGGTTTTTTAGATGCGAGAATCTATACTTAAATTTTTATTCCTTAAATTATTATTTTTCATTCTGAAATTCTGTAAAATGATTAAAACATTTTCCACTGAATAATGAATTAAAACATTAAGACCAAAACATGAGTAGAAACTCAAAATTAAAAAGGACTTAAATTTTTGGAAAAAAGTCTGTTTTGAATTAGAAAATTGTAAATAAATATAATGATATTCGATATCATTGCCAAACAATGTAAAATACAGTAATATGATATCAAACTACGAATTTAAAGATGATATCTGAATAGAAGATTATCAGAAAAAATCACTAAAACTAAGAACAAAACATATTTTCCACAAAAAAAATATTTTATCATTATAACAACAAAAAAAATTCTTTTAATTTTGAGGAAAAAAATAATTAGACATTAAAGAAGTATTAGAATCAAAAAGTTGTAACAGTTTAAATCATTTTCTCAGTTATAAAAAAAATCCACTACTTTCTTCATTAAATTATTAGTTTTTTCAGTCACCTGAAGCATTAAGCTGCTTTTAATGTGATATTTTACGAATTAGATTCAAGCATTTTTGTAGCGTGTTGGTTTTTTTGTATAAAATTGTTTCATAAATGACGCTATTTATGTATTTCTAATGCGCATTTAGTTGCATTATCTTCAATCTTATCCAGTGAAGAAAAACAAAAAAGTTGTGTGAATGAGTTTAGCGAGTGTTAATTTTTAATGTTCCTAAAAGCTACAAACAAAGTGTTATATGTGTTGATTTTATGTGGTGCTATGTCCTTAAATCTATTTTTGTGAATAAATTGTATTTTTATCCTAAAATACTGTCGTCTTTCTTTATGGTTTTAATTCTTATAAAATTTCTTTTTAATTCTATTTTATTTTCCCAAAAGCGAATATCATGGATCTATATTTTTACTTTGTTCTGCATATTTAAAACAATGCTTCTCATTATCAAAGAAATTGTGTTAAACATGTGTAACAGATGGGGCGCTCGCCTCCCAATTACTTGAGCCAAGTTCGAATCCCAGCGGTGGCTAGTTGGTGCGAATTCTGGTCCCAGCTTGCATCGACCACAGTGCTGATGTGAAATATCCTCAGGGCGTAGAGGGAATTTCTTTTGTTAAAATTTTTAAAAATATTAACATCTTTTTTTTCTTCTCCATAGTTCACGATGATAAAAAAGTATAAGTTGAGCCTGTTATTTACGTCAAAAAAAAAAATCAAAGCGAGATTACTTCGTTGCGAATATATACATCATGGCTTTGGGGGCATTAAATAGCAGTTATAATTAAAATAAATAAGAATTTTTTTTCCTGCAATTTTGGCGAACTTTTTCTGGATTTAGACTACTGTGCGGAGATTCTAATATCACAAATTTAAATTCGAAAATTCAAAGTTATTGAAAATTCAATATCGAGTGTTATAGAAATCTCGCAGCGACGAGAAATATTTCAAAGATAGCTAGTTAGCCAATAAGGTAGCAAAGGTTCTCTACTTACCTTACCTAACTTACTTACCTCCCTTACTTACCTAATTTACAGCATTAAACGAATCATGAATTACAATTGTTTTGCCGTTGGGCTAACTTTGGGAGGTTTTTGAGGTTTTACTCTTAACTTAACGCAAAAGAAGAAAAAGGTTTCTAAGAAAGAGACTCTGACTAGATGTTTGATTCGGGAGTTTTTTTTTTTTTTTTTTTCTGAGTTGGATTCAAAATTAAAAACTTCTTTAGCTGCAGCTAAAGAAGTAAAACTTCTTTAGCTGCAAGTCCAAAAGGGGATGGTTGTTTAATAGATTATTATTAATAATAAAATCTTTACGTGTGATGAGAACCAGAAAATACGATTAAATATTTTTAGTCAAATGGAAGGAAGTTTTTTTTTTCTTCTGGAAAACTAGATCGATAGTTAAATAAGATTATATTAATTTCATTTTAGTTATAGGAGTGGAATTTATTACTTCTCAAAATAAAACTTCTGATAGTTTGTTTTCTATTTTTGTTAAATGTAACTACATCAGCTGTGTTTATTGATATAATAAATTAACAGAACTTATTTCCTAAATAACGTTAATTAAATTCAATAAAGCTTTACTTTTCCTTTTTTTAGCACTTCTTTTAAAATGTTTGTGATTTAAGGAGGCTTGATTACCCTCAAATTAAGCCAGTATTTCATTTTTAAAATTTTATTGCGACAATAGTTTATGCGGTCTAAAACCGCTATTGGGACCATATTTCCCAGCCTGTTCCAACCTCCATATTTTAAGGTATAGGAATCCACATTGTTTGATAAAAAGGCATGTAGGTATATTTATTCAGAGAAAGTACGCTTTTGCTTCTTATTACGCAACTTAAATTAGTAGTCCGCACTAATTAATTAGCATATTTGAGGTCACCTCTTTTAACAACTAAGATTATCCCTCAGTTTGATAAAATCTGATCAGTAGAACATAAGATATTCAGGGTGGAATAATTTTCTTGCTAATGGTGCGTAAATTTTTATAAATCCTTTGACGCACAATGTTTTTTTAAACATGTATTTCATACCCCCCCCTTATTTTGTATTAATTAAGGTTAAAATAAGTGAAGAATATTATATTTAGCATTTTAATAATTTATGATTCTGAAATACAACATGAAACACTTGGTGTCTTTTTCTGCGTTAAAGATAAAAGCTTCCAAACACTGCACACATTGAAACTTTTACTTATTTGCAGTTATTTAGATCGAAGAGAAACAGTTATTCATCGTTGAAGTTTCCTTAGCTTACAAAATCAACTATTGATAAATCTTTGATAATTTTTTTTATTATATTGATAATTTTTTTTTCAAACTACTTTCTTTTTAAATTTTATATTTTAGTACAAGACGCCTGGTGGCTGAGTGGTAGCTCTTCGCTCTCCCGTGCCACAGGTCTTGGGTTCGATCCTCGAGCCGGGCAAGGTTGACTCAGCCTTTCATCCTTTCAGTGGGTCGATAAATGAGTACCAAGCATGCTTGGGAACTAAACACTGGGGGTTCCGCGTTTGGCTGACCACCTAACCGGAACATGTGCTCCTGCATCCCAGAGCCCAAGGTCAAGAAAACTGAGATGGGCACAGTAGGCCTTGGCTCTCAATGGGCTGTCGCGCCTCTGAGTTTCGTTTTTATTTTAGTACAAATATAACACCGATAATCTAACAGATTTCCTTAGTAACTATCATCCTGTTTTTTATAATACAAAAATACCAAAATAGACATGCTTGTAATATATAGGCATGCAATTTGAGTGTCAGAAAAAATATATGAAAGAAACACCGTTGTCCCATCTTACGTCAAAGACTAAACATCTAACTTCAATTTATGTACATCCTGTATTTTTGTAAAATTTTGTTTGCTTTAGGTTGCTTTTCGAAAGCTCCGTTGTGATATGAAATGATACTTTTTTGTGAATAATATGCTATTTTCATAACTGCTGTGAATTTGCAACAGTTACTCATGATCGTTAAGTCAAGTTTAACCTATTTCAAACTAGTGCTGTCCGTGATTATTCCTCATCTAATTTTTTATTTTATTAATTTTTTAAAATTTGAAAACTTACTCTAATGCTGCTTTACCTGGGTTTATAAAAATTTGCAAAAAGTGAGAACAAGGCAGTGATTTTGATAATTTTCATCTATATCGCAGTTATTTTTAAAAAAAAGTTTAATGTCTTTTAAAATTTACTTGTAAGTTTAAAAGCCACTATTTCCTCGAATTCTTCACTGTAAGATGATATTATATTGTTTAAAATTATCGTTTTTCTTCAAGTGTAAGGCGCTTAAACTGTGGCTATTTTATTTTCCTTGGCGACAGAGTTTCGAAAAACCATGTTAAAACAATACATTAGTGAAATATTTCATTTAAGCTAGAGCTTAGAATGTAGGGTAATTATTATTATTTTCTTAATTTCGAGAATTCTTTTCAGTGCAATGAAAAATTGTACGAATTACAAGTTTTATTTACAAGATGAAGTGAGATGTTATTATTTTTTTATCTGCTTGTTTATGTCGCAACTTAATACCCAAAGCTGTGAAAGTAAAGATAACAACAGCAGCAGCAGAACAATTTTTGCCAGATGAACAGAAAGAGTGATTCATTCATCTGTGAATTGAATGCTTGATTTGCTTTGATGCAGTGCCGGTTGTAAATTCCAACGTGTTACTCACTGAATCACTCTAATCGGGATGACAAAAAAGGAATTGGATTCATTGCTTGTGAAATTATATAGATGTTTTTTTCTTAAGATTTTATTTATCGTCTCTTGTTTAGCTAGACAATCTTTAATGTTTTACAAGGTTTTAGGTGCATTCATTAATATTGCTACAATATTAATATTTAGAATATTAATTTTAAATTTTTAGATATTTTAAGAAAAAAGGGAATAGGATCTTTTGATTTGAAAAAGCTTTTTTCAAGATTCCATTTATTATCTTTTGCTTGGAGCAGTTTCAATGCTTGTATATATATATATATATACAAGCATTGACAGTAGGCCTTG